AGTGAATACAATTCTCTTCACTTTGTTCAGGACTTACAAAGCTCGAAACTTTGAATGTTAATTGTTGTAATTGCATCAATGATGCCGACATGAAGGCTCTTTCAGGTATAGCTAGCTCATATGTTTTAATTGTCCTTTTCTTTCTCACTTGTCCTTTTCTATTCAATGCCTAGCTATACCTATGGGTGGTTCAAAATCTCACGTTTGGTTTGTGATTTGTTCGGCTGAAAACTGTTGCTCTCTATTGCAGGTCTTACAAACTTGAAGTCATTACAAATTGCATCAAGTAAGGTCACCGATAATGGTGTCACCTTTATAAAAGGTAAACTATACCATTCTCCTGTGTTATTTTCCCACAAAGGCTCTGTAATTCAAAGGTAGTCATAGTTAATTTTTCCTTTAATTCTTTGAAACCTCGTTTCAGATTTTTACGTTTTCAAGGTCAAGGGTTCTTGTGTCAAAACTGCTCGTGGAGCCTCAATTGTACATCACCACCATTTAACACGAAATTTCTGTTTTACGAATTATGATAAATTAGTGCCATTAGTTAGAAAGTACCATTGTCCATAATGTGCGACCCAAAAATGCTGTTATGTGATGCTGATCATGGTATTACCGACTATTGTGTCCATTTTCGTAATTATATATATTGCTGCTCACAGGACAACAAAGAATGCTTTGGTGTTAAGCCACTGTGTCATGCGCAATTAAAATACCTAATTTCCTATTATTTGTCTTGTAGATTTGAAAAGGCTTGCTCTTTTAAACATGGAGGGTTGCCCCGTCACTGCAGCTTGCCTGGAATCACTCTTAGGTTCATCTTTTTTTTTTTTTTTNGGGTTCATTTAATGGTGAACCAACATGACTAAATATATATTTTGTTATCTTTTAGATGATAACTGGCATTAAGAGCTGTAATAACTTGTTGTAATCACTATTTCAATTTCTGTGCTGATGATTTTCTTTTTGTTTTTCGTTGCAGCTCTTGATGCCTTGTTATATTTGAACCTCAGCAGATGTAATTTAACAGATGCTGGATGTGAAAAATTCTCAAGTGAGACATCTGAACATACATATCCATTTGTATTCGAAGTAATAGCAACTTGAAGAAGATAATGTGTTTGAATATATTACTCTCTCTCTCTCTCTCTCTCTCTCTCTCTCTCTCTCTCTCTCTCTTCTGTTTTAAACAGAGCTGCAATCTTTGAAAGTCTTGAATTTGGGATTCAATGAGATCTCGAGTGCTATCTTGGTGCACCTTAAAGGTAATTTTATCTTCTCCTCTGTAAGAAATTGAATGGAGTCCAACCGTTTGGAGTTTCTGAACTTGCTTTTGCTAGAGTTGATTTATTTATTGCATTATAGACATTTGTCCTTTGTTTGTGGCACAGGTCTCATAAACTTGGAAAGCTTAAACTTGGATTCTTGTGGTATTAATGATGAAGGGATGATTCATCTTGCAGGTTAATTTAACATTTGCCTATTTTGTGCTATCGTTTAACTTTTTACATTTGTTCATTGATCAAAACACTGGTAAACACTTTACCTGTCTTGTGATCTGATACAGTTCCTAGTATCACTAAAACCTGCTGGAGAGAATTTTTCTTTTTCATTTTCAGTTATGCTTAGTCTTCATTTTTACTGGTGTATAGTGATTTCTGATTTATCGTTTACATAATTTCTCAGGTTTATCTCGTCTGAAATTCTTGGAGTTGTCTGATACTGAAGTTGGAAGCAACGGATTACATCATCTTTCTGGTTAGACATGATTTATGAACTTTAAAGAATAAAGACTTCATTTCATTTTGTTTTCTAATATATATATATTTATGAGATTGTGAAATTTTAATTGAACTTCTTGAATTTATTTATTGCAGGGTTGCTTAATCTGGAGAGTTTAAATCTATCATTCACTGTAGTGACTGATGGTGGATTGCGAAAATTGTCTGGTCTGTCATCTCTCAAATCCCTCAATTTGGATGCTCGTCAAATTACAGATGCCGGTCTTGCTGCTCTTACAAGTAAAAGATTTACTCAGAATTTCGAAAATCAATTAATCCATTCAGCTGTAATATTTTTTGCTACGCGAGCGACTTATTTATAAAAGATTATAAGAAATCCCTTTTGCTTTTTTGGCAGACTTGACTGGACTAACACATTTGGATCTCTTTGGAGCACGGATTACTGATTCTGGAACCAATTATTTAAAGTGTATGCAAAATAATTGTTTCTTTTTGTTTAAGTTTCTTCCATGCAAAATCACGGAATAATGTTTGATGACTTGTCATTTTAGCTTTCAAGAAATTACGTTCGCTCGAAATCTGTGGAGGCGGGTTAACAGATGCAGGTGTTAAGAACATCAAAGATCTTACATCCTTAACACTCTTGAACCTCTCCCAGAACTGCCACCTCACGGACAAGAGCTTGGAATCAATTTCCGGTACCTGAAATTACGAATTTGCCCCTAGTCGCATATTTCAATTAGTTACGATATATTTTTATTGAAGCATATATTTTGGAGTTGGTTCTATCAAGCTGTGAAAGTGTGAGTCTTTTGAGATTTTTGCGAATTAAAAAATAAAATGATTTCTGAAAAATAACTGCAGGACTCACACAATTGGTGTCACTAAACGTGTCAAATTCTCGTGTAACGAGCGCTGGTCTTCAGCACATAAAGACGCTAAAGAATCTAAAGTCGTTGACCCTTGAGTCGTGCAAGGTGACCGCCAATGATATAAAGAAGCTTCAGTCCACATATCTTCCAGGCTTGGTCAGTTTCAGGCCCGAATAGTAATTGGGCCTGTAAAAATCTTTATATTTATTCGGGTAAGGGAACTTCTTGAATCTAATGTACATATGGTTGAAATAAAGCATATGCTGTCTATGCAAGTGTATAGATATATATGTTGGAACCAGAAAGTTGGCTTTTGATGCCACATGCGAAGCTTTCTTTCCTGGCCTTGCTGTGGAGAGAAGTGTATATAGTTGCTTCCTTTGGCA